ACCGGTGCCCGCCGGCTCCTGCCTGCAGCCCTGAGGTGATGGCGGGGCCAAGGCCAGAGGGGGCTGTGTCCCTGTCACTGAGGGGATGCAGGAGGGAGGGAGGGTGGGAGAAGCCCCTGGGAAGGGCTCTCCCTGCCGGCCGCGCTCCCACCTGGGAAAGGGGCCAAAGCCATTGGGCCATGGCATAGTCTGGGTGCTTCTTGGTCTGAGGAACAGCAGTCTTCCACTAGCTTCGGTGACTTTTATGCTTAAACCCGCTACACCTTGAGCTTGGACCCATGGCTTAATGGCGAGGTCAGTGTGAACTGCTCCTCATGGCCCAGGGCTCATGGAGCTCGTGCTCGGAGGCAGCTGGTGAGAGGTGGAGGGTTGAGGAAGTGCTGCAGGCTTCCATATCCCTGCAAGCATGCAGCCTTCAGCCTCAGCCTGACCTGAGGTATGAGGGGCCCCCTGCTAATTCGCAGGTATGGATCAGAGGGATTTGTCGCTTCTTTCCCCCCGTCGGGTAATCCTGTATTTGGAGAGAAATAGGAACCAGGGCCCCTGTGTTTTCAGCTCCACTGAACTGAAAAAGGAAGCCAGTGATGTGGAAATTAGGTTAAACCGCCTAAGTAGGCAGCTTTCTGCACCTAACTAATCTGGCTGCTGCATATAGCAGCACTCAAGCGAATTCCAGTCTGGTGGTTAACTCTGGGACAAACCCAGGCTCCTCTGCTTGGTTTGCAGGCCAGGGTGGAAGAGAGGGGATGGAAAGTGAGGGGAAAAATAGGATGTGGAGGGGGACGTGAAGCAATTCTTCACTGAAATGGAGGAGCAGGTCACCTAAGCTGAGGGCTGCACGTTAGGTCCTGAATGAGACAAGGGGAGCAGCAGATAAGAAGCTGGACTCAGATGTCAGCTTTAAGACTTTGGCTGCAGCATCTAATGTACAGTGTAGGTGTCACCGTGCCCTTTGAGTAATCCATTGCTTTTCTCTAGAGCTGTCTACACACCTCTCTCTGTTTCCCTGTTGCACAGGGATGCATGGGCTTGATACTGTACCTGCAAGCTGCGGCAAGACCAGACCGCTGGCCTGGCAACACATCTGCGCTGGGATATGAGCAGCAGCTGCGAGCATCCAGCTGTGGTACAGGTGTTGGCTTTCAAAAAAGGAGCGACTGATCTCTAAGGTCACGTTAAATGGTCCAGGTGAGAACGGGATCCTACATATTGCAGGGCTGTGAGGCGCAGAGGCTGGGTGTCAGAGTGGTGGGCAGGGAGGTGACCAAGGAAATACCAGCTGCTGATCCCTACAGGTTGACTGAAAGACTGCACTCAGTCTCACCTTGCAATTACCTCCAGGCACTAATTAACCCATGCTTCGTTAAACAGGCTATTATTAGAGAGGTGCTTGGAGGAGAGCCCCTGGGACATGTCCCACTTCAATTGACAGCAGCAGTCCCCAAGCATTGATTAAGATGCCCTAGTGCTGGCATCTTCACTGCCTGTTGTCAGGAGCAAGAGCACATTGAGGAGACAAGCGTCCTACCTTGCTTCATGCTCAAATACATTGGGAAAAGTGGCACAGGAGCTAATGGTTTGAAGCTTTGGCTCACTAAACCTAATTCAGGGCTATGCAGAGGGGAATTTGGCAGTAATACTTTGTGAAGAACTAGATGTTGCTTCCTTGTCATGTGCAGTTACCCAGCAGGTATGAGGAAGGTAGTTTATTGTTTACCTCCTGGGGGCACAAGGAATGAGAGTTCACTCTCTAGACTGATGCCATTAAGAGCTAACACATAAACAGAGAAAAACAGTGGATGAGGAGCAGTTAGAGTGAGGCTAGACACAGGAAGGAAAACAAATGGGAGAAGAAACAGCCTACCTGTAACCCAAAACCACAACTAAGGTGATGATTAGTGCAACAAGGATGGACTGTAAGAAGGGTTGGACTCCCAGGTACTGCAGAGGAGAGGAGGAAGTCATAGATGCTTTAATATACATTTTATCTTCCTCTTTCTAATCTGACTGCTTTATATGTTTATTTCAGCTTTAATAAAAAGGGGCTTACACAATTCTCACAGATCTACCCTTCCTCAAAAGGGGAAGGTGATAGGGGGGAATTATTTCAGATTTGCTGCAAGGAAGGAGGGAGAAAATTATTTTAGATTTGCTGCAAGAGCCATGGTAGGAAACAAAGGCAGAGATAGTCTGGCATGATAGGGCTGCAAGGCTTGTCCTGATAACTAGAAGACTTGAGTAAGCACAGAGAGATGCCCTCCCACAAGGTCTTCACTAAGGCTGCGTGCTCAGCATGCTCCCTGGAACTGCAGCATGCATGCATTTCCCTGCAAAAGCACGTCCCTCTCTGTTAGCAAAAGAGGATGCTGAAGCTCTCAGCCAAGTGCTGAATTTCTGGCAGTATAGAACAATTCAGCTTCCAGCTGCTGCTGCACAGAGAATTAATCAGGGCTGAAGAACTGGAGCAGAGCAAGCCCCACAGCTTCCGAGAGTGTGGTTGGTTGTCACCCTCGTCATCTGTCCCTGGCTGACATGACACACAAGCTGCGCAGGGGAAGCATGAAGAGTTTACTCACTGCTTTCTCCTGCACTTTGAGTGAAAACACAAGGCACAGCTTCACCCCTCTGATTTAGCTAAGTGGCTAGGTGTGGGAGGGGAGCACAGCTCTTCTTCGACAGTGTCTGTAGATCAGCAGTGATAGCGTTTGGCACAGAACAATTTTTCTTCTTGGCTGGATTTATTCTAGTGACAATTGTCTCTTTCTCCTTTCCTTCCCCTCTGCCTGTGCTTGGAGAGTTTGCACCAGGAGAAACAGACCCGTTCTAGGCTGCCAGGTCAAGAAGTGCAAATTAGAAACCAACCTCCCATGGAGTTAGAAAGAGGGAAATACCAGAGTCATGCAGCATTACAAACTAACACTTCCATTTTGTCAAGTTTGAAAGTAATGGAAATTCTAGGAGCTTAAAGTGGTTCAGTTGGTCCAAAAAATGTGGAGACTATTAGCCCAAATAATTAATCTCATTCCCCCAAACAACTTGCTCTGAGTGGTGTTCTTCAGCCAAAATACGTTTCCCAAGGTGGGGGCCGGGGGGGGGAAGAGAGTGAGAGAACATCTATTATGTGTGTGTTTGTTAGCAGACAAGCTTCTTGCCCTTGGAAGGGGAACAAATTATGAACTCGGGAATAAGTAAATAGTGGAAAGTAGGTCTGTGACTGAAAATGCGCAAGTCCTATCCGGTTACATTTTTGTTTTAACTGAAGCAGATGACCAGCCTGACGACAGTAGCTGGTGCTATCTTTCTCTCTTTCATTGCACCTTGGCACTAGTCCGAATGCCACTACAGCTGCATCCTCTCCCACTAATACAAGCAAGGGGCCAAAGAGTCTAGTTCTGACATGCTATCTGCCTTGTGCACAGCTAACTTACGGGTACACCAAGACAGGGAAACATCTTGGGGGTTTTTTCCGGCCTGAGCATGAGTGA